TCAGACTTTTTTTCATTTGTGTTTTAAAAAGGCATAGGTAAAGTTATTAAAATTAAAGGCGAGTTTATAACTGAAGATGTGGTTATTGTCCCCACTGGCTTTTCAGGTTAGAATCGGTCCCCGGTAACCTGTGTTTGTTGTGTGGGTAAATCAGATCTGGGTGTGTTGTACAAAGTGATCTTAGCGCTAAGGTGATCGTAACTCCCATACCTTAACATAGACTTACAGCAGTCGTAGTGCTAAGGTGATCGTAACTACCATACCTTAACATAGACTTATGACAGTCATAGTGCTAAGGTGATCGTAACTCCCATACCTTAACATAGACTTACAACAGTCATAGTGCTAAGGTGATCGTAACTACCATACCTTAACATAGACTTATGACAGTCATAGTGCTAAGGTGATCGTAACTCCCATACCTTAACATAGACTTACAACAGTCATAGTGCTAAGGTGATCGTAACTCCCATACCTTAACATAGACTTACAGCAGTCATAGTGCTAAGGTGATCGTAACTCCCATACCTTAACATAGACTTACAACAGTCATAGTGCTAAGGTTGTTTTGTACAACGGCACCAAGGTTCCGTTACTTGGTGGATTGGGTGTCATCATGGTACTGGGCGTTGCTCATGATATCAATCACTGGTTTGTCTGGTCTACACTTGTTTACTCACCTCCTGCTTAGGTATTGCTGACTGTGACTTTAAACAATAAAACATAAGGTATGGTTGTCCAAGGCTTACCCAGCTTATCTGGCTTTGTTGCTTGTGAAGAGTAATTTGTGATTGGTTGCTGGTATATTATTTTTGTAACCATAGCGATCATATCATAGCCTCACAGCAGTCCTATTTCTGGGGTTTCTTCTTCAGGTGTGGGCCAGGTAATTTGTTTTTTATCAATTTGAGAAAATGATCAAGGCTATTTTGTTAGTAAGGGAAAACTGACATGTTATATCAGGAAAAAGACAAGCTATGAGAGGAGTCTAAATAAAAATACATATAAACTTAAATGGTTTTGTTGTTTGTCTCTAATGTGTGTGGATATTGCAGGGATGTCCTAGCCATACAAGAATGCTCACGTTTGTTGAAGTAGGGGACACTCGTCACCCGACCATCGCAAGTCTGTGTGAACGTAGTTCGACCCCAGGCCGCGTCATACCAAAAGACGTAAAAAGATGGTACTTGTTGTTACCCTGTCCAGCGCTCGGCATTAAGGGGCTAAAACAAGGACTGGTCGGCTCGGAGTCAGTATACTGTGTCGTGGTGGGGTATTCATGTTAAACTGCGGCATGGTATCTCAGTGTGCTAGCACTATAAATCGGCATCAGTCCGGACTGGTACAAGCAGCAACACAAACACACACACGTACATGTACGTCGCTATATAAGTGCAATAATCTTGGACGCAACGTTAAACCCCATTTCACCTCACCTGTGTGAACGTATGGGAGTTTGGACATTCTCAGCACAGGGACCATCAGAAGTCTGTGAGAAAGTGGGGTGGTTCAAGCGTTCACTTGACACACTGAAGACCCATGTTGGATTCGCGACCTGTGCAATGTGTGAAGCCCATTTCTGGTGTCTTTCATGTGATGATGCTGGAATATTGCTTAAAGCGGCGTAAAACAATACTCACTCATTATGTATGGGATTCCGGACACTCTCAGCAACCGACCATCGCAAGTGTATGTGAAGGTATGGGAGTTTGGACACTTTCTGCACACGACCATCATTAGTCTGTGTGACAGTATGGGAGTTTGGACACTAGTCTATGTAAAACCCAACTCAGTTTTATTCTTGACCAGTGCAGAAAATGGGCATCAAGCCTTCTGAAAATGTAACAGGGTCACCAGAACCTTCAGTTGTGGACTCAAATTCTGATATGACATAGCAGAGGAAGAACTACATGGCCAGAAACCCATGCCAACTATGAGATTGGGGATTCAGGTTTAGAATTGGCCGTGTGCTGGTCGTTGCTCACAGTATCAGTCACTGGATTGTCTGGTTCAGAATCGATTGTTTAGAGTGAGTGAGTGAGATGGGTTTAATGCTGCTTTTAACAGTATTCCAGTTATATCACGGCGTGTCAGCTTAATGTGGGAGGAAAGCCCGACATAATGCAGGTCTCAGACATTTACCACTTAGGTGAAACCCACGAGCATGGGTATGGTGCGGACAAACCTAGAAACATAATCGGGGCGAACCGGGATTCGAACCCACAATCATAGGTTTCTGGCGTGCCCAAGGGATGCAACTCTGCACAGCGAATCGCCGTGCCTTAGACGAATGTTTAGATGTCATCTTCGAAAGACTGGCTATGGCCGATTGTGGTGTTAAAGTAGAATAGGTCTTCCGCAACCCATGCTTGCCCTAAAAGGCGACTATGCTTGTCATAAGAGGCTTGTCATAAGAGGCGACTAACGAGGTTGGGTGGTCAGGCCTTGCTGACTTGGTTGATGCATGTCATCGATCCTAATTGTGTGGATCGATGCTCATGTTGTCAATCACTGGATTGTCTGGTTCAGACTCGATTACTTACAGACCACCGTCATATAGCTGGAATATTGCTTAGTGCGGCGTCAAACAACAAACAAACAAACTTAGCAGAAGTCTCACTGGTACCTGTTATATAACAGCACCCTAGTACATTATCTCAGCACTGGTGTATTAAACATATTTAATCCCTAACACAGGAATTGTGAACTAACATGAAAACAAGGAAATTTAAGTGAGAGCAAGTTTGTTTCATTTATGCCCGGAAAACCACATCTTTAAATAGACATGACGAAGTTCACTCATGGGGTGACTTTTGTTCTCGGGTGTCATAAAATATGTCTCTGTGAGTCACCCCCCGTCACCCCTGGACGTACTGCATGCTGGGAAATAACCCTCACGTGGAGATGGAAACTACATGGATGACGTGCGATGGCAGATTGCATGTTTTTCTACACTGCGCAAATATATCACCTTTACCCAAATCATTTTGAGTTGTATGAAAACATTCCCACCCCAATCGAATAACAACAACCATTTATCTTACCTTACATGAGTGTCGGATTCTGATTTGCTGACGCATTCTATCATTTTCACATGTAAGGGACATTTCTTATGTCGCCTGCTCGCATTAATATTACATTTGCAACACACCAATTGCAATTTTATTATCTATAATTAATGATGTAAGTTATTTACGATATTTTCCGAATGAAATATATCTAGGGGGAATAACTCTTGTTTTGTTTTGACGTCTGCTATTAATTTTGTCGATGAACGTTAAAAATGAATTATGTAGATAAATGCCTAACTGGTTATCTTTTCCGTTTCGGGTCTAATCATGCATGCATAAGACATACCTGCAATATAATTAGGTGGCGGCAAGATGCATTCCTTGTCTACCGGTCCCTCGGGTGACGTGCGACACGCATGTTCCTCTGAGGCAACCAAATGGATCGGCTGGTCTGACTAGGTGACTTGGCTGTTTGCGTGTCGTCGTATTCCGACAGCGTGGATTGTTGTTCACGATATCAATCACCATATTGTCTGGTCCAGACTTGATTATATACATTATATACAGCCCGCCGTCTGCTGGAATATTGTTGAATGCGGTGTGACGTCAAAATAGTGATGACCTGAGATGTAGAACTAAACCCAATCTCAGGTTCGGCTATTTCCGCCAAGCTTGGAAAAACGACTACTAGCGCCCCCTGTTGGCAGATTGAGCTAAGCATTGCAGGGCTTGTTTACATCTTTAGCTCTTCTTTTGGAATGCCAATATCTTGCTGGCTTATGAGTTTTGTTTGTTCTTGTTAAACGCCGCTCTATGAATAATCTAGTCATCGGTCCACGCAATTGTGTTTGTTTGTTTGTTTGTTTGTTGTTCAACGCCGCACTCAGCAATATCCAAGCTATATGACGGCGGTCTGTCAGTAATCGAGTCTAGACCAGACAATCCAGTGATTGACATCATGAACATCGATCTACGCAAATGGGATACGATGAAGTTGCATAAACCTCAATACATCACGCACACGTTTACGCACGCACACACACACACACACACACACACACACACACACACACACACACAGAACGGAAGGTCGGGGGTTCGATCCGGCTGCGTCATACCTAAAGACGTTAAAAGGTCGTACTTGTTGTTACCCTGTCTGGCGCTCGGCATTAAGGGGCTAAAACAAGGACTGGTCGGCTCGGAGTCAGTATACTGTGTCTGAGTGGGGTATTCATGTTAAACTGCGGCATGGTATATCAGTGAGCTGGCACAATAAATCGGCATCAGTCCGGACTAGTACAAGCAGCCACACACACATACACAGGCACGCACGTGCATGCACGTCGCTATATCAGTGCATCAATCTTGGACGCAACGTTAAACACCATTCACCTCACCTTTAAATTCTCTGTGAAATTCGTTTCTTTGATATCATCACCAGTCATTTTCGTCAAAGCGAAAACGACCTCTACCACTACACATGTATTTGTTCACTCTTACTTACGGAAAAACGAATATTTTTAAATTAGAAACATGTCAATTTGGACTGATGACACCTATTTAATAGCGAGTTTTAGACACTTGCATATTTTGCTGTCAGACTTGAACAATAGACTGCATTTAGGAGATTTCTTACGGTAAAGGTTTTGTCGTATATATTAAGAAATTCGACCGGTTATCTTTTTTATTTATGTTGATACAGATTATTTAATTTAAGTTTTATCTACACGTGGAAATGATTTTATGACATATGGTACCTTTCCTTGCGCGTATGTATAAAATATGTTAGGTTGATAATAGGCGGAAAAAGTACGTATCATACATGGTTTAATTGTTTGTTGTTTTACGCCGCACTCAACACTATTCCAGCTATATGACGGCGGTCTGTAAATAATCGAGTCTGGACCTTTCCTCCCACATTAAGCTGACATGCCGTGATATACCTGGAATACTGTTAAAAGCGGCGTGAAACTCAACTCACTCACTCACCCATTGGACAAGCGCCTCGGCTGTGATTTTGCTGACTGACGCACACTCTACCCAGAGTTCCTTGCGGTCATCTTAGTACTTCTGCAAATTAAATATGTTTCCCACCTATTTCAAGCTACACATTTGTCATAACATCGTCAAGTTTCATTGAGAAAATCTCCTTAACGTGAAAACTATTTCCTTTTGCGTATTTATCGTTTGTTTACATGGGTTGGCGTAGCTGGCCGATCCGATGTTGAAGGGAGCGGGACCTCGTGTGTATTTATAGATATCAACGTTGTCACGTGACTGTGTACATATGCAGTATGTGTTCTCGTCTGCCTTCGCTTTCATCTGTAAGCTTGTGTCAAACTCGGTCTGTAAATAATCGAGTTTGGACCAGACCATCCAGTGACAGACATCATTAGCATCGATCCACGCAAATGGGATACGATGACATGCTTCAACCAAGTCTGCGAGCCTGACCACCCGATCCTGTTAGTCGCCTCTTACAACAAGCATAGTCGCCTATAACGACAAGCATGGGTTGCTGAAGACCTATTCTACCACGGATCTTCACGGGTCCAATGTTAATTAAATGTATATAGATCATTTCGTGCACACCTGCCTTCTGTAATCAACAAATAATTTATGTTGACAATTAAACAAACTTACAATTTCAGGTAAGGTGAAGGTCACATGAACATCAGGAAGTTTCAGAACTGTTTGCCAAAACTGGACAGGAGAAGTAGAATAATGTAAAACTGTAGGGATTGAATTGAGCCCATCGATAGTGATCGGAACCTTGAGTAAGCCTTGAAAGCACCCCGGAGCGAATATTTTAAGGGATTGATTCGCGCCTGCTATACCGGAACTGTATTGGGTCTGTCGCTAGCTCATGACCGCCACGTGATGTAAACAGTCTCGCTTGCAACCGACTGCCATAAAAATGTCAGGCTTAAAAGACGCAGAAAACTGGCGATGTGGTGGGGATTATTAACAATGTAGATAACTACACTGCATCAATATGAGGGGTCACTCTAGTGCAGGTACCGTAGAGTTTTTGTGCAGTCAGTGCTAAAGTCACGAATAACAGAAACGCAGTATGAAGCTATTTATAGATCTGGGGAAGCCCTCTTTAGTGACATGTATCTAAAAATACATCTCAGTAAAACGAACAGAGCAGAGACTATTTGTTATACGTTGTCTGGATGCAGCCATACCCTCAGTTAGTACCAGCTTGATTTGTTTTGCTTGTTTGATGTTTACCAACCGCTGACTGAACAAGGTGCCCTGTATCTAAGAAAACAGGGGACACGGCATTGTCGGGAAGGAGCTGGTTCGGAGAAAAGCAGTCAAGTGTTACAGGTGATGACAGTCAAGGTAAAATGTATTCAATGTTCGATGCCCCGTGCGCGTGTGTTATAGCCAAGTGTTACCAGCTAAAGAGGAATCGAATCGTTCATAATGTGTGGTAAGTGACGCCTAGGGATTAACAGTGTGGTAAAAAAAGGGACGTTAACCTACATTGACCTACATGAATGACCTCTGACTGTGCAGCGTCTATCGAGATGCACGCCTTGCGCTATTTCATATTGTGTGTGTTTATTCGTTGTTGCGGAACGAGAAGTGTAAAACAGTATATCGACTCTAACAGAAGTGACATTCGGGGAACTTTTCCTGACCCAAAGACGAATGCCAATGTTGGCGGTCCTGGTTCCAGGACAATCAGTCATTCAGACACAAACATCAACGAGAATGGGAACACACACAGCAGTGTACGGAACAAATGGAATTCTGAAGACCGAAATTTTGGAGGAGATAGCAGCCGCCATCGAGACACCAATTCTAACGGTCACCGAGAAACTAAGACCGGCGGTCGAGAAACCAATTCTAACGGTCACCGAGAAACTAAGACCGGCGGTCGAGACACCAATTCTAACGGTCACCGAGAAACTAAGACCGGCGGTCGAGAAACCAATTCTAACGGTCACCGAGAAACTAAGACCGGCGGTGGAGAAACCAGGGGTAACGAACGCCGCCAGGAAACTAATGCAAATGTTCGAGACAACCCGGGGGCTGGGAATGATAGAAAATTAGGGACAAACAGCAATGTTCTGTTTAATGTGAACCATGGTATCAGCGGACAACGGAGTACAAAGAGTAACGTGGGCCGTGATGCAAATAGAAGCGACAGGTACAACGGTGTCGATGGGAACCTCACCAACTACTCCGTCCAGGACGGTGTGAAACACGACACCAGCCCCAACGAGTCGACGAACAAGAAAAAGGACGAGGGACCCAACGAGACGATACGTGCTGCGAAAAAAAGTATGTTGTCTTTTTTATGTAACCGTTATAAATAGGGTCAAAACGACCAATTATTTCGCTGACCCTTAAAAAAATTATAATTTGCAAATCAATAATTGAATTACAGTAAACTACGGTTATAACGAACACGCTTATAACGAACTGACGGATATAACGAACTTACTTTTTGGTCCCGGCTACTTGCTGTAGTCATGCTGTATATGTACTTATAACGAACTACGGTTATAACGAACTAAAATTAGTAGTCCCTTTGAGTTCGTTATAACCGTAGTTTACTGTACCAGACTTCCACCGATACATGGACAATATCACCAACCAATATGCCTGGAACACTTGCTGTTTTGTCATGTACACAACCATTCTCGATGTTGTCGAAGTGAGTGAGTGAGTATGGTTTTACGCCGCTTATTGCAATATTCCAGCAATATCACGACGGGAGACGCCAGAAATGGGCTTCACACACTGTACCCATGTGAGGAATGGAACCGGCTGTCTATATATTGTTTTCACAATGCCGCTGTACAGTTAAGGCCAAAAGAAGTATTAGGTTTCTGGCCTTTCGGTTTGGCCTAAAATGACGTTATGACACGGCTTTCTGTTTTTTTCCTTCACTTGAGTTGATAAACTCATTTGCATGACTCACAAACACTGATCCGAACGGTACAATCTTCGTATTCTGCAGGAATTAAATGGTTGTCTTCGCTTCTGAATTGCGATTCAAAAAAGTTGTAGTGATGTCTAAATGCACGTGACAAGCCGAAAATGCTTTAATGTCCCCCAACCCCTCAAAAGACGCGCACACACACACGCACGCACGCATGCACGTACGCACACACACACACACACATCGTGCGTCATGTGCAGTTTGTACTTGCACTTTGGTAAAAGCAGGTTAGAGTTACCTGCCCTTAGTTACAAAATCCGGAAAAAACGTAGTTCGCGTGGGTGTTGAAAGTGAAGCAGGCGGGGACGAAAACAATTAATTTACTCCTTTTGCCTAATATATGAGCTTACCGACATACGATGAACTGCGTATAAATTTATTTCCCTCGTGGGTACAATGTGTGAAGCCCATTTCTGGTGTCCCCCGCCGTGATATTGCTGGAATATTGTCGCGAAAGCGGCGTAAAACCTTTCTCACACATTCACTTTCTTGTTTAATTGTCTAAATAACAGTTAGGTAAAATATGCAATAATCTTTGACGCGACGTCAAACCCCATTTCACCCCACCTCACCTCACATCCTCAAGGCTGCTTTGTAACCAAGCAACCCGTAAAGATCCGGGGTAGAATAGGTCTTCAGCAACCCATGCTTGCCGTAAAAGGAGACTATGCTCGTCGTAAGAGGCGACTAACGGGATCGGGTGGTCAGGCTCGCTGACTTGGTTGATGCATGTCATCGACCCCAATTGCATGGATCGATGCACATGATGTCAATCACTGGATTGTCTGGTCCAGACCGCCGTCATATAGCTGGAATATTGCTGAGTGCGGCGTTAAACAACAAACAAACAAACACATTGTAACGATGTTGAGATAAAGCCTTGTTACAGAATGTTTTTCTGTTGTTCCTTGCAGACGGACCCAGCCATTCGCTTGGTGTGCGCAAGGAAGGTCGACAACAACCAACATTTGATGAAGCACCACCACCACCATCCTCCAAGATAACACAACGCATCTTGTGTGCATTCCTAGGGGTAGTGTGTGTTGTGCCTGTGTTGATGGGTATGGTGTTGCTTGTTTTTAAGTGTCATGCAAGGCGTCATCGGACTTCAACAGACAATATGTGTGACACACAGATACAGATGATTTGAAGAAGGCAGATCTACAAACGGTTTGGAAGATGCGATGTATCGTACCTATTATTATGCATGAAGTTACAAGGTATGGGTCATTCACTGGCGACATCGTACTTTAAAAACTGTGAAACTTATAAAATTGCTGTGGCTAGCGCACAATTATTTGTGGATGTATTGTTTGTATATATTGACTTGTGATTTACAGTCATTTGTTGATCTCACGCTTTGTATTGTTACAGTAGACAATCGTCTTTGTTGCAGTTAACTGTACATAGTTGCGCCCCTTAGTTTACAAGGATCCGATGAGCGTGGGTCCGAATCCTAGATTCACCCCGATTATTATCCTCAACCTCCTTATTATCCTGGGGCCCGATACACAAAGCGTTCGACAGTCGCAGTCTTTGTTAAAGCGTGGGCGTTACGATACCCTTACCGCTACGAACGCTTTGTTCATCCGGCCCCAGTTCCGTTGGTTTCAGCAAAGTCTCATCACTGTCATAGACCATCCTCGAATTGTACTGCATCTCTTTTTATAATACAGTAAACCTCGGTTATAACGAACTCAAAGGGACTTCTAATTTTAGTTCGTTATAACCGTAGTTCGTTATAAGCATATATACAGCATAACTACAGCAAATAGTCGGGACCAAAAAGTAAGTTCGTTATATCCGTCAGTTCGTTATAAGCGAGTTCGTTGAAACCGTAGTTGACTGTAGATTGGAATTTATTACACTATTGTGTGTTCAAGTGGGCGTCAAGTCTACCTCTCTCACTGTCTCCATCCCCGTCACTCCTTGTTAGGTGAAGGAGTTCGTGACAAACTGTTTACAAGATATTCTTTATCATATTGATTTGTACGATTGCTGAACAAAAAGAGTTGTTTGTTTTTTATGAAATTGTGTGCTTAGTCTTCACGAAAAAATATATACCAAAATATTCATGACCCCTATTTTTTTCGTTATTTTGTTAGTGCTTGTTTTTACACTCAGTATTTCAGTATCTCAGTATAGTATTCTCTCCTCCTATCTCCTCCTCTCAGGAATCTTCTCATTCTGGCCTCTCAGGCCCCGTACAGGGCCGGGTCTTCATGTGACAATCGGGGGCACGGGTGGTCCATTGTCTAAGGCGCCGCAATTCGCTGGGCAGAGTTGCGTCCCTTGGGCACGCCAGAAACCTGTGGCTGTTTGTTCGAATTCCCGTTCACCCCGGTAATGTTTCAAGCTTTGTCAGCACCATCCCCGTGCTTGTGGGTTTCACCGAAGTGGTGAACGTCTGAGACCTGCATCACTTCGGACTTTCCTCCCACATTAAGCTTGGGAATGCTGTTCAAAGCGGCTTTAAACGTAACCCACTCATCTGACAATCTCTCTCAATCAGACAGGTTTCAGGTTTCATCAAAGTGTTAATACCTGTTTTTCTCTCACATGGAGCTGTCACGCCGTGAATCAAAGCGGCAGAAAATACAACTCACTCATATTCATCCGGTCACGTGCTGAGGGTTAGATACGACCACTAGTCCGCTAGACTTGGTTGGTTAGTTGGTTTGTTTGTTGTTTAACGCCGCACGCAGCAATATTCCAGCTATATGACGGCGGTCTGTGTAAATAATTGAGTCTGGACGAAACAATCCAGTGATTAATATCATGAGCATCGATCCACGCAATTGGGATCGATGACATGCATCAACCAAGTCAGCGAGTCTGACCATCCGATCCTGTTAGTCGCCTTTTACGACAAGCATAGTCGCATTTTACGGCAAGCATGGGTTGCGTAACTCGTGACCTAAAGAGTTTGTTACCATGATCATTTTTGTTACCAGTGTTACTTGTTCGTGTTGACTTGTCTTCCATTCATCCTTCATTAAATCTTTGTCTCCTTATTTTCTAGGTGTCATGACCTTAATGGCTACCCATGTATGATAACGGTGTTGTTAATCGGTGATATGTTCTTGATGGTGAGGTGAAATGGGGTTTAACGTCGCGTCAAGGATTATTGCACTTATATAGCGACGTGCATGCACGTGTGTGAGTGGCTGCTTGTACTAGTCCGGACTGATGCCGATTTATAGTGCTAGCCCACTGAGATACCATGCCGCAGTTTAACATGAATACCCCACCCAGACACAGTATACTGACTCCGAGCCGACCAGTCCTTGTTTTAGCCTCTTAATGCCGAGCGCCAGACAGGGTAACAACAAGTGCCATCTTTTAACGCCTTTTGGTATGAGGCGGCCGGGGACCGAACCCCCGACCTTCCGCTCTCCGGGCGGACGCTGTACTACTAGACCACGGAGGCGGTCCGATATGTTCTTGAAGGCACTGTTAATACGCATTCAGTATGTGATGTCATCATTGCAAGGGGAACACCGACATTCGCGTTCTGTCTGTTTGTTTGTTGTTTAACGCCGCACTCAGCAATATTCCAGCTATTTGACGGCGGTCTGTAAATAATCGTGTCTGGACTAGACAATCCAGTTATTGACATCATGAGCATCGATCCACGCAATTGGTATACGATGACATGCATCAACCAAGTCCACGAGCCTGACCACCCGATCCCTCTAGCCACCTCTTACGACAAGTATTGTCGCCTCTTACGGCAAGCATGGGTTGCTGAAGACCTATTCTACCCCGGATCTCCACGGGGGACAAGCATGGGTTGCTGAAGACCTATTCTACCCCGGATCTTCACGGGGGACACGCATGGGTTGCTGAAGACCTATTCTACCCCGGATCTCCACGGGGGACAAGCATGGGTTGCTAATGACCTATTCTACCCCGGATCTTCACGGGGGACAAGCATGGGTTGCTGAAGACCTATTCTACCCCGGATCTCCACGGGGGACAAGCATGGGTTGCTGAAGACCTATTCTACCCCGGATCTTCACGGGGGACAAGCATGGGTTGCTGAAGACCTATTCTACCCTGGATCTTCACGAGGGACAAGCATGGGTTGCTGAAGACCTATTCTAACCTGGATCTTCATGGGGGACAAGCATGGGATGCTGAAGACCTATTCTACCTCGGATCTTCACGGGGGACAAGCATGGGTTGCTGAAGACCTATTCTACCCCGGATCTTCACGGGGGACAAACATGGGCTGCTGAAGACCTATTCTACCCCGGATCTTCACGGGGGACAAGCATGGGCTGCTGAAGACCTATTCTACCCCGGATCTTCATTGGGGACAAGCATGGGATGCTGAAGACCTATACTACCCCGGATCTTCACGGGGGACAAGCATGGGTTGCTGAAGACCTATTCTACCCTGGATCTTCACGAGGGACAAGCATGGGATGCTGAAGACCTATTCTACCCCGGATCTTCATGGGGGACAAGCATGGGTTGCTGAAGACCAATATACGCCGGATCTTCACGGGGGACAAGTATGGGTTGCTGAAGACCTATTCTACACCGGATCTTCATGGGGGACAAGCATGGGTTGCTTAAGACCTATTCTACCCCGGATCTTCACGGGCCGCTCGGACAAGCAGCCAAATATATTTTTACATGTTTATACATACATTGATTTTGTTTTTTCTTTTAAACCTACCATTTTCAGTCACTGGATGATGAAATTCAACTAAATATGTTTGGAATTCCTTATCATAATAAAATAAATGTTCAGATGGTTTAGTCAAATTGTAAAATGATATATTTAGACGTTTTGCAAATTGCCTAAGTGAAACTTTTAATCATTTTACACATTGACTGTAATACATATATGCCTCTTTACCAGTAAATCTCTGCCAAAGACAGCCATGGTGCCAGTTGAAAACCAATTCTTCTGATAAACAAATGCATTACCTAATATTTCGTGTTGACAGAATTTGCTTGTATGTTGTGATGAGTGAGAAAGAACTGTACTTTATAATTCACTGCCTCAATTTGAACGGTTTGAAATGTATCGTGGGGCCAGAATTGTATATTTTGTTATTTTTACTGATATTTTACCCAAAATTTCGGGTGGTTAAGTCGAGAGAAAAAATATGAATAAATCCCAATATCTTGTTTTTCATTTTTTCAAGATTTTGAGGTGGTAGGGGAAAAATCAGACATTGGCATCACAATAGTTCGATTTCATGCACAAGACCATATCTACGTAAGCAAAATCAAGTTGATGATGAGGTGAGGTGAAATGGGGTTTAAAGTCGCGTCCAAGATTATTGCACTTATATAGTGACGTGCATGTACGTGTATGTGTGTGGCTGCTTGTACTAGTCCGGACTGATGCCGATATATAGTGCTAGCACACTGAGATACCATGCGGCAGTTTAACATGAACACCCCACTCATGATGACACTGATGATGACACTGATGATGACACTGATGATGACACTAACGATGACAAGTGATGTAACATCGTTCGATCCGGGGAAAATGATCTTCCTGTGCCTCCCTCCGATGAGGAACTTTATGGTTTATTTAGTATTGTTGTGTTTAGTACATATATACTGTTTTATTATCACCCTTTATAAATAAAAAATAACAAATCATACTTGGTGTTGTTTTTTATCATCGCTTTGAAAATGAAATGTGCTCAAGCTGTCACGTCATTGCGTGTTGCAGTCTCATTGGACGACTCGGGGACTTTATGGTCGCCATGGCATTATTGAATTTATTCTTTTTTGCCCAATTCTCAGCCTTGTATGTATGTATCATTATGAAAGTTTATATTCAGTCCGTTTTGCAGATTAACACGTTTTTATAGTCTTGCCCCTACTGTGCCATTTTAACCAAATACAGTAAACTACGGTTATAACGAACTCAAAGGGACTACTAATTTTAGTTCGTTATAACCGTAATTCGTTATAAGCATATATACAGCATAACTACAGCAAATATTCGGGACTAAAAAGTTAGTTCGTTATATCCGTCAGTTCGTTATAAACGTGTTCGTTTTAACCGTAGTTTACTGTATTGCAAAATATTCAAAAAAGAAAAATTCAGGTTTTATGGCCGTGTTATTAACTGATTTGCCTGATGCTATATGCTGGTTTCCCTGTTGTGGAAATGCTGTCCGCCATGAGTTTTTTTTCCCATTTCGACCCGTGGGATTCCTGGAATATAAGAATATAAGGGGGCTATAAATGGACTGGGTTACATGTCACTCTCCGTGAGTGGGTTGATTGCGTGGCACCGACAACCCAAGCTTGTCGTAAGAGGCGACTAACGGGATCGGATGGTCAGGCTCGCTGACTTGGTTGATGCATGTCATCGATCCCAACTGTGTGGATCGATGCTCGTGATGTCAATCACTGGATTGTCTGGTCCAGATTCGATTATTTACAGACCGTCGTGGTGTAGCTGGGATATTGCTGAGTGCGGCGTTAAACAACAAACAAACAAACAAACAACATACAAACATAAAATCCTGGCTTGAAGGGGCGGTCGGGTAGCCTTGTGGTTAAAGCGTTCGGTCGTAACGCCGAAGACCCGGGTTCGATTCCCGACACGGGTACAATGTGTGAAGCCCATTTCTGGTGTCCCCCGCCGTGATATTGCTGGATTATTTCTAAAAGCGGCGTAAAACCATACTCACTCACTCCTGGCGAAAGTCGATCAGGGATGCTGCAGTTAAATCAATCATCAACTGTATCCCTTTCTCAATAATACAAATGAAATGCAATGCGGCGACGCGCGGCTAGCATGTTTTCTAAATGTTTACAACACGCAAATTTTGCGATCACAAATATAAGGGATCCCTGAAGAGGATCGAGGATCTTAATAGGACTGCCCATTTACTACAGGGGTGGGGTGGTGTGGGTTGAGGGGTTTGGTTTGGGCACTGAGATTGGTCTTAGTACCAGAGCTCCAGATAAGCTGCGTATCTGCGTAAAATACGCATCAGAAATGCAGAAATACGCAGTAAAATAAAATCCAAGCGTATCAAATACGCAACGAACATTACAGATACGCTACAAAAATAAAACTTGTGCGTATCATCAAAATATTGTGAAGTAACCCTGCGTATTCGATTAGCAACTTAGCAACTTATTTTGAAATTATAAACAGGCATTCCGTCAACCTTGCCAAAGTCCACGATGACAGTTACATCATGATCATTTGCCATCACACTTTCTTGTGGAAGTATCGTGGTAATTTTGAGTCCTATAAAGCTCTCGAACCCAAACGAAACCAGTTTGCAGGGCCTAGATGAATAGTGTTTTTAAATATTTAACTTAAATACATACATGTGTAAAAACTAGTGGGTAACAGAAATTTGAATACCAAGATAGAATTACTGATACCAATGATTTTTAAAAGCATGGGTAAAATACCCACAACACCAAAAGCTTATCTGGAGCTCTGTAGTACTGTATCATATTTTATGTAACATGTCTTCATTCCCCCCCCCACACACACACACACACACACACACACACACAACCCACCCCCAGCCACTCCCAAGACACACACTTCCCTTTATGACGTATGACGTGGGGTTATATTTGTATTCAGAATCCTGACGTGTTGATAATTTAAGATTTGGCTTTTCCAACTCATTAAGTATGTCAACATGTTGCCTCCGACTCTGCAGCTGGCGACATAGCTGGATTCTTCACACATCCCGAGGTAGCACATAGCAATGTGCCACACAGATGCATTATGTCCTGATTGTGACGAATGCAGCCCTTTCCCCGCGCGTCTA